TTTCCCTATCTGTATTTGGCGCCACACAAGGATAAATTCCTCTATAGGTGGCCGGCCATAATGGATAAAATAGAAGAGGAGATTTTGTTCTAAATTTAAATAGGAGATAATTAACAAGCTTTATCTTGGAGATAAAAATTGGATTCCTTCTAGGAGTTTGACTTCTACTCTATAAATAAGATAATAATAGAAAATTATGAGACCCAATTTTTGCTCCAATTTTAAGAGTGTGGCCGAATTTCTCTAAAGAGTGAGAGAAAAAATTTTTCTCCAAAAATATCACATTGTGCATGCGTTGATGTTTATGAAAATTTGAGTGTTTATTTCAACCCGTTTTGTCTTAGGTGTGCCCACACACACGTCTTTGTGGATTCTAAGAATTGATGTGGAAGACATTGATTTTCTAAACACAAGGCTTTGGAGCAAGGATTGTTCATGGTCAAAAAACTCAAGTTATCATCCTAATCGACTGCTATGTATAGTTCCTAATTGAGTTCTTATTAAATAAATTAATGTGATTAATTTATTTGTATATAAATTAATATAATCTATAGAGTATCTCAAAAATTTTATAAAAAATTTTGTTATACACGATCCGCTACCCTCACACTTCCGCATCCGAATTTGATTCGGAAACCAACACATAAATAATTGGGAATTCCCTTTCACTATCCAAAATTTAGTTCATCTATTTTTATCTTTCTGTACCTTTTCTTTTCTTTTCGTATTCTCTATTTTTTGAACTCCTAATCCAACCCAACATATTTTAATCTTATATGATCCAATCTAATTAAAAACCAGTTTTTATAAATTCCATCTAATTCAATCCAATTACTAGAGTATCATCAAACCCAATCTAATCTGATTAAGTCGATTTATATTAGATTGGACCAATTTGTTTTTGGTTTGACCTTTTTGCACATTTTTTTTTTCTTGTTGCACCTATTTGTTAGATTTTTTTTTACATACTTTAAATACTACAGTTGAAAAGAAAAAACAAAAATTAACTTCTATAATTCTAAATCAGCATATAAACTCTAAATTACAAACTTCAATATTAATTGAACATTCAACAAACAATTTAGAGAAATACATATATACATCTATAATTTTTTGCACTATTCAAAAACTGGTTCATCTATTATATCCTTATGTGCTTTTTTTTTTTTTCCTCTTCTATATCTTTTGGACTCTTTTGAGTCTTTTCCCTTTCCGCCGAGCCATAATCCATATATATGGTGCCTTATGCTTCTTTCTTTTTTCTTTTTAATTATTTATTTATTTAATGTCTTTCCATTCACTCCTTTCTTTTTTTTTTCCCCCTTTTTTTCCTAAGAAAGGTATCGTTTTCTTCATGTCCATTTATTCACTTTTGTAGCCTTTTCTTTTCTAAAGATCTCACTTTCTTTAAATGTGTTTCTCTAAAATACATTTTTCTTCTAATTCATTCTTACTAAAATTATTTTTCCAAGTAAGACTTATTTTATATATTTACTTTACAATCCCCTAAAATATTTTTGTGGCAAATATATCCTTTATAAAAGCTTATCTTCAGTTACTTATTTAAATTATATATATATGTGTGTACATGTTCTGATTAAAACTACATTTTTATAATCTACTCTTTTTTCAAATTTAAAATCTAATATTTTCATATTCATCTCACTAAAATAATTTTCTTCTCTAATATGTCTTATTGAAATTATTTTGTCTTAAATTTACTATTACCTATCTTTTTCCTATGCAATACTCTATTTTTTTCTTCCAAATGTGGCCTTTATAATTGTTTTTAATTGGAACTATTAAATATACATAAGGGGGAGTTCCTTTTGGTTAATTGTTGAAAAATTTTCTCGACTCATTTTGTCATTTTCTCTATATGTCTGTGTGTATGTGTGTGTTGATTAATATTCGACCACAAATACATGTTTTGATTAAAAAACTGCATTTTATAATCTACTTTTTTTTTTTTTCAAATTTAAGATATAATATTTTCATATGCGTTCCACTAGAATAATTTTCTTCTCCAATATGTCTTAGTAAAATTAATTTTTTTAAATGTACTTTTACTTATTTTTTATTGCAATACTCTAATATATTTATTTTTTCAAATGTGGCCTTTATATTGTTTTTAGTTGCATCTATTACATACACATAAGCTGGAGTTCCTTTTGGTTTATTGTTGAAAATTTCCTCTAATTTATTTTGCCATTTTCTGCCTTCGTGTTCTGTAGATTTCTTATAAAAGAAAAAAACTTTAACATCCATATATTCAAAATAATTTAAAAATTGAATCCACACGTGTCCACGACAAGAATGCATATGAATCGTTCTGGGCACTTTTCTTGATCGCCAAGGTATCAAAACAAGAAGACGAAAATTGCACAAACATTTCAAAGATTTATTTTTTCTTTTTGGTAACACCGACGACAAACTTTGTTAAATTTGCGTGTCGTTTGTATTGTAATTGTGTGTATAATCGTTTCTGCGTTTTAAATAACAAATCTGCGGTAAATAAGGATACGCATGACTTGAAATTTTAGGTTTTTAGGATTTTTAATATTCCAAGATTTTATTTTGGTCCAAAAATCAGAGTATTGTTAGATTTTTGGTGAGAGTAAATCAAGTAAGGGACTTTCTTGTGTTTCATTTATTTAGAAAATCAGCGTTTCTTATTTATTAGCAGTTAAATTTATATTAAATTGAGTTAAAAATTAAATTAAATTAAAAAAATAATATAAATTTAATAATTAATAAATAAAAAACACTAATATTTTTTTTAAAAAAGAAACACTAAAAAAATTCCCATCAAGTAAAAAGAAAGGTTAAAAAAAATCAAGTAAATAGATATTATAATCCCGTTCGGTTCGTTAATTTGAGTTTTTAATTTGAATTGAGATGTGATGTTGTGTAAGAGCTTTTTATTATAGTAAAAAAGTTAGATGTGATTGTTTTTAAGAACTTTTTACTGTAGTAAAACTCGAATTCTAAACTCAAATCAGTGAAAAGAACATGACCAATAAATATTCTTTCTTTTAAAAAATGAGATATTAATACCTTAAATTACGAGTAAATCAACGACTTTTTTTACGAGTTAGCCTCGTTCACTTCACTAATTCGAGTTTAGAATTTGAGTTGAGATGTGATTTTATATGAGAACTTTTTACTATAATAAAAAAATTAGATGTGATTGTTTGTGAGAGCTTTTTACTGTAGAAAAACTCGAATTCTAAACTCGAATCAGCGGAGTGAACGGGCAAAGTCTCTTTTTCTGGGTGACGTCTTTCTCGCTTCCTCGCTTCCTCGCTGCATTAATCACTCTACTCTCTCTCTCTCTCTAACGTCTTTGGTCTGCGCTCTCTTTCTCTCTCTAGAAAATTGTGATCGCCATGGACAAGGATTGCGATTCTGGGGAGCCCACTCTATCTTCGGCCTCTAAGAAGCTGAAGCACACTAAGGTGTTTGCCCTTTTTCTTTGAGATTTCTTTTCATTTGTGTGTTCGGAAAATCAAATACTTTTTATATGGGTTTCTTTCGGTCTTTCGTGTTCTTCTTTTAGTAATTTCTTAGTTTTGATCTGAGTCGCGGGTTTGATTCACAATGTTTGGTGTTTTCATGGGTTTTTGCGGAGTTTTTTGGTGACGCAATTTAATTGGTGTATAGTTATTTGTTTTGCATGTAGATTGAATTCATATTTTTGTCAAGTATAATCACGATTTCACGTAAAGCTTCTGTTTTCTTTGCGAGAATAGATAAATATCGCCTCCATTTTTTATGAGACTTACTCTTTTTTTTTTTTTTCTTCATGAAATTGTGCCCACAAATACTATGGCTTTACTGTAAAGATTGTTCCTTTTTTTTTTTTTTGGTAAAATACTGTTAAAATTGTATTGATTTATCATACTTTAATGTCTGCATTTTCTTTGATCATTACTGTCACTTTATTTTTCAGTTCTAACATTTTTGCATTTATTTGCTGGCACACAGCATCTCTTTATGCTAGCAATTGTAATAACAAGTTCACAACTCATAAATTTTATGCTAGATAAATTCTCTTTTTTCCCCTTTTTCGAGTCCTTTATAGTAGTAAGTTTGTTTTTCTGAATACAGGGTTTTTTGTTTTTTTTTCTTTAAATTTTCTGATTACAGGTTGCTTCAGTCAGTTCCAGTAATTCTTCTAGCCTGGCAGGATCCACTCATGGTGCTGATACCCTCAAGAGTACTAGTATCTCTAATTCGACGGAATCAATGAATATGGATGGTTCTAGTTCTGATTTGTCATACCATGATGATGGGGATCATGAAGATGGTGACAACTCTGCTAGCGATTCCGATTATTATCCTGATTATGATGATGAAGATATTTATGAGGACTATAAGGAATTTTCGTACATCGATGAATATTCACTATTGCAATCTAATTTTGACAATGTGAATGTGCCTGCTGGGGTGGAAGCGTCAATTCCCTTGTTCAGTGGTTCATTAGGTAAAAGCATTCAGGAAGCAAAGACTTTAACTATTTCAGATGATCCTGAAACTGAAAAGAAGGAAACTGTCACGAGCAGTTCAACAGTTCATGCCGAGTCAAGTTCTAATGTTAAGGTAGAAGGCAAAAACAATGATTATACCGTGGAGATATCTCAATTCAAGAAATTTGATGTGGTGGATGATTTCACAGACCATCATTATGCCCAAAGTGGATTTTGGGACACGAAGGTAAAATTATTTACTTTAATGTGTCTCTTTTTTTTTTGGATGATTTGATCTAGCTGTATACATGTATATACCTGTCTTTACCTACTACACCACACACTCGTGAGCTTTTGGATATACATGTGGCTTGGACCAAGAGGAGATTAGTACTTAGGTGCAAAAGCTGGTTTATGTTTGTGTTTGGATATTGCTGCGTATATTGATATAATTCTGCTCTTTAACAGCCACCCAAGGACTGGGCAAAGAAAGTTCAGGAGGAGTGGAAAATCCTGGAGAATAACTTACCGGGTGAGTTCTAGTACCTTGCCATAGTGCACTCTTTGTTCCTGGATGTGTTACACACTGTGTGATCCATATGAGTACGAGTGACTTGTATGTTTTCTACTAGAACTACAGATAGGTGAATGGTCGGTAGAAGGGAAAACTGAAAAATTTAATTATGTTTTTAGATGACTAAAATCGGTTTAAATTTAACATGTTATGCCAATTTTGTTCTCTCTCTCTCATCAATTTTCTTTCTACAGATACTATTTTTGTTAGAGTTTGTGAAGCAAGGATGGAGCTTCTAAGGGCGGTTATTGTAGGACCTGCAGGCACTCCATACCATGATGGTCTTTTTGTCTTTGATTGTCTCTTTCCTACTAACTATCCCAAGTCACCTCCAGTAAGTACTAAGTAGTAAGATATTTACTTTAACTACACACACACACGATGTATGTATATGTAACTGAAGCTGGAAATTTCTTCTGTCAGTCTGTGTACTATTATTCTGGGGGTCTTCGACTAAACCCAAATCTGTATAACTGTGGCAAAGTTTGTCTCAGTCTTTTGGGAACCTGGAGCGGTAAAAAGAATGAGAATTGGGTCCCGGGGAAGTCAACCATGCTGCAAGTTTTGGTCTCCATACAAGCACTCATTCTAAATTCACGACCTTTCTTCAATGAGCCTGGGTTTGAAAGATATACTGGAGTGGAAGGGGAGAGAAGATCTAATAAGTACAATGAGGATGTCTTTATTCTATCTTTGAAGACGATGATCTATACATTAAGGAGGCCTCCTAAGGTATGATAGACATCTTTTTTTTTTTTTTTTTGTGCTTCTTCTTCTCTTTCTCTTTTAAGAATATGGTTTTGCATGTATCAACATTCTTGTATGTTTCTCTGGCATGATGTTTAAACACATTGTTATCAACGAGGTTAGTATCCTTACTGGAATTGGAATGATTTATATGGCACTACACATGCTGAAATTGTGGGTTTTTGAGGACTGAATCAGGGATTTAAGAAACACGGCCGCATGAGCTTTCATGTGTGCTTAGATGAAAATTGTGTTGGATCTACGAGTTGGCCTGCTTAAAAAACCAATTTATAATCCTTATATAAGAGAGATAAACGTCTTCCAACTTAAATGTTGCGACCAGTGGGTTTGGGAATTGATTTTCGTGCAGCTTGCTACGAGTTCGATTAATATACAACATAATTTTGTAGTTCTAACTCACTCCTTGCAGAGTTGAATCAGGAAAGCTTAAGTATCTTATTAAAAAAAAGAAAAAAACAACTTGTAAACATTTTTGTTATAAAAAAAGACAAAACTGAAAGGCAAAAAAAAAAAAAAAAACTTGTAAACCTTTTTTATTAAAAAAAAAGATAAAACTGAAAGGCAATGTACTATATTTTGATAATCACTTGGAATATATATCTAGAAATTGTTTGCTTGTTACAACAAGGTCGCTACTTTTCCAAGGATTATCCATCAGTGTTTTGATTTGGCACTTTCTATCATTAAAACAGGATTTAATGGTCTTTCTATGCCCCCCTTTGAATGTTTATACATACGATCAAACCCGTTGAATTTTTTTTTTTTTTGCAGCATTTTGAGGATTTGGTTGCTCAATATTTTCGCTGTCGAGCAAATGATATTCTGGTCGCATGTAAGGCTTATATGGAGGGCGCTTTGGTTGGATCCAATATCAAAGATAGAGTGAACAACCAAGTTGATCAAAATAGTGGCTCGAAGGAATTCAAGTCTGCCGTAGCTGGTATGATGAATTTGCTCCTTACAAGTTTCTCGCGAAACGGGACGCCAGGGTGTGAGGTGCATCGACTTCTAGCTGAAAATTAATTTAACGAAGTGGCACCAACACAAGGCAGTAATAATTGTAGATTCGTAGGCTTGGAAGAAGCAATTTTTTGTAATCTTTTATATATATATATATATATATATATTCTGTAGTCACTGGGGTAAGAGTAAATATTGTAGGATGACCTGATGATGAAGAGTTTCTAATCAGTTTATATATGCCTGATTTCTGCAACATTTAACTGAAAGGAATGACTAGCTTTTCCTTACTCTGCTGGTTTTCAACTGGTTTTCAAGTAATTTTACGGTCTCTGTACAAATTGACGTACGACCCTAACTAAGAGTGATTTCTCAAACCTGATAACGATCTTTATTATATGCCATTCTCACTAAGAGTGATTTCTCAAATTTGATAACGATCTTTATTATATGTCATTCTCGATGGATTAAACAGATTTTGTATATGACAAAGAAAAAGTTTTTGTTTTGTGATTCCACGACTGTTTTTAATTATTCTAATTAAAAAATTTAAAATACCCACATTTTCTAATTTGGAGAAAGTTGCTTGTGATAAATCAAAAAAAAAAAAAAAAAAAAAAACTTGTTCGTAGACTAGAATCATCGTTGTAAATTTCTTTAACGTTGTTTTCTTGCACAGGAGTATTGGGAAGATTGAGAGTTGGCAAAATTCATGGCCAATTGGCCATTGAGTGGCTAATAATCCAAGGAATACGTGGAAAGCAATAGGATTATGATATATGCAATAATTCGTAAAATGCCTCATGTTGATTGTTTATTATATGCTATTCCCTTTATGATAAAGCGTTTTCTATCATTTCGCATAATGCCCGTCTCCTCGTATTGACTAGTCGCATAATTTTTAACACATTTTTAGAACCTTTTCCGACTTGATTGTAATATATATATATATATATATATATATATAATATTCTCTACTCTCAAGTGGGAGGATTCCAAAACCACTTTTGGGAGTTGAGGCCTAAGAAAGCTTTGAAAAGGTTTGGTCTTTTTGAGGGGAGAGGTAGCATTAGTGGACCAGATACGAAAGGGCAAAGGGGCAATAAAGACCAAAGAGTGCAAGAAAAAAAAAGTACACGATTTTTCCCATTTCATCATCATTGGTAATTAATCATATACTATATGCATAGTGATAGAACAAAAATTTCATATGAGAAAAAACTATGACGAATTAGATATAAGCTATGGGAGAATTTGAATGTGTGCGTGTGTGTGTGTTACCAATTGTGATGTGCAGCAGTTTTTCGAGCTAGTGTGTTTAGTTGAAAGGAGTTAAGGAGAAAAGGATGGAGGGTGATAAACTAATCCATTATTTGGTTGGAGGTAGTAGACGAGGAAAGGGTGTGATAGAGGGAGAAGTCTGGCACACCAAATTTAATCCTTTTCCTGATGAAAATTCTAAAAATCTATTAAAATCAAACCAAAAAAAAAAAAAAAAACTATTTACCCTACAAAACTTTTGTAAGGAATAATAAAATAGACTAATAATTAAACAAATAACTATCACTTATTATTTTCTCCCATTCATAATCAAATAACATGTATAATTATTATTATTTTCTCCACTCTTCGTATTCCACACCCACCCTTCTTAATCTATCAATTCATCCATTCAACTCCTCTACCCCAAAAACCAAAAAATAAAAAACAAATAAAAAACATCACAAGAAAACATGGCATACTAACAAAAAGAAGAAGGCCAATTATCCCCTTTATAGAGCTCGAAAAGTAGAGGCTAGTAGGTTTTGAAATTTGTGATTAAAGAACAAAATTAACACGTGAGATTCCCCCTTTTGTTTTCTTAAGGATCTAGATTCCTAGCACATCTAGATTTCTCTAAAATGTGGATAGCATATAGCAACAACTATCTATTATCAATCAACACGCGATTATATTAAAATGACATCAAGAATATATTTCTTCCTATATTGCAGAATTTTGTTTTTGTAATACATCTCTAAACCATAAATAATGTAGCATTTTATTAAAATGGCGTTTCCTTCTATTTTTATTTTTCTGACAACTGGTTGAATTCTAACTATATCTACCCTTTCACTCGATGTTAAAAGAAAAGGACAAATCCCATTAGGAATCATTCGTTACTCATTCCACTAGTCTAGCAAGTTGGAGAACAAATTCATCAATTATGAAACCATGGAAGTACAGCTACAACCACGCATAAATGTTGTCATTACAACTTGCATGCATAACTATTACCGTTGAAGTACATTTATGGACATATAGATGAAAACGAAAGGACCAAAAGAAACAGAAAATAATTATGGTACAACTCGCACACAATAATACATGCACTAATTAATACATAGTTTTCCGTTAGCGGATAACGTCGCCACAATCTAGTAGCTAAGTGGCTCAAACTTGTCAAACCACTTTAGGAATCCAAGGGCGGCGTCCCTCGCCTTCTCCGGCGGGGGCGTGGCCGGGTTCAGCACCTCGTACTCCGCCTTCCACTCTGCGATACACGTGCTGTTTTCTTTTCCTTGGAGAGGAGTGAATGTGAAGGTGACCCTGTACGGATCGTACATACGGCGTAGGTCACCTCCAACCACGCGATAAGTCACTGACGTTCCACTCTCCACCCTCTCTATTTTCTCTGTTGACTCTTTCACGTAGTTGTTTACCTCTACACATGCAAATTCATGATAAAAATCTTCAAAGAAAAACAAAATACACTCCAACGTCTTTCTACGTACGCACCCGATCAAAAGGAAATCCTAGAGTTCTATATACATGATCTTTACGTATCTTGTGTCACATATATACAAAGTTATTTCACGATATATAACAAGATTTACTAGCAAGGAGTGGAGTGCCAATCTACTTGGATTTTTTTATGTAAATGTATTTTTCTTCTTTGGAAAATTTTATTCACTCATTGAGAGATAAAAAAATGTTATGTACGACATGGGGGTTCTAACTGCCGAGATAACTGAAATTTCCTTTTGCTCTCTCTCTCTCTCTCTCTCTCTCTCTATTTTTCTTCTTTGAAAAATTTTATTCACTCATTGAGAGATAAAAAAGATGTTATGTACGACATGAGGGTTCTCTCTGCCGAGATAACTGAAATTTCCTTTTGCTCTCTGCCGAGATAACTGAAATTTCCTCTCTCTCGTTCAATCAGGTAAATAGACTATGTAGACATATTTATGCCCATTTATAAAAAAAGGGTCTGCAGACTTTGCAGAAATCAATGGACGATAAGAAGAAGACGAAGAAGAATACCGGGACCAAGCTTTAAGAGCCTGAGACTTCCAGGGCTGCCATCTCCTTGGATATATTCGGCATGGGCAAGCATCTCAGGTTTGATTTTGCTCATGATTTGATCGTTTCTGTACATTTCCCATGCTTTCTCTGCTGGCAAATTAAGCACCACTTCTCCTTTCAAGCTTCTCATATATATCTCTCTCTCTCTCTCCTTCTATCTCTATCTCTATCTCTCTCTTGTCTCTTCTTGTTTGTATTTTGTGACGAGGGTGACGCATTAAATAAGGACATGGGAACCTATCTTCATAAAGGGACTAGTTTGATTAAAGGAAAACAGAAGAAAGTCCACTTTATATTTCATTCTATCTCACACACGTAGATAAGGGGCCTAGAGGATTCGTGCCTATAAATTCTTTCATATGCAACAAAAGAAGAAGGGTAATTCAACGGAAGTCGACTATCATTTTCAAAAGCCGATGCTAATCTTCTCATATCTTCATATATTTATGTAAATTTGCTCATAGATTCAATGTTATATTGTAAATAATATGTGAGGATTCCTTTCATTTGCTAATGGAAACTAAAGACTCGACCCCTCCTTCCATCATAGACCATATAAAATCGACTTGAGATCTCACCCACTAACCAAGTTTACGCCCATTTTATCCAAGCGACACTTGAAAATCTAACGTTCTAGTATCCAGAGAGATTCAAGTTGTGCCATTTTATCCAGAGAGATTCAAGTCGTGCCTTTTACACGTAAACAAATGAAAAAAAGAAGAAATATGGTTTCATGAAATGGAGTAGAAAAATGCTTAAGATAGCAGCTAAACATCATCACTAATAGAAGATGGATCCCATCTTGCAAGATCTACTCTCAGTAGCACTGATGCCCTAAAGCATTATTTGACGGAGTATAGTATGTCATCGGATAGAATAATTCCTGGAACCAAAAACCACTAAAGAAGACAAGGCTAGGCCAAATATCACAAAAGAAAACAACGCAGTTTCTATATATCATTTCATTTCGTCTTCTTCCCTCTTCTTTTGTTGACAGAAAAGTTGACTCCAATAAAATTTCATAGATTTTTTAAAAAAAAAATAAAGGCGGGAAAGGAATCTGATCTACTGAGAGTGCATTACATTGTCTATTCTATCAAACTATAAACAGTACAGGTTTGTTAGAGAATTCGCTGGTACAACAGATAGAAAAGATACAGATAATAACAGGCCACGAGTCGTTAAAAACACACATATTAACATGGTCGGCCAAAAGTACAAGACTACTTTGGCGTACTCATTCAACCTTTTAAACCGTGCTTACTTTGAGGGGAGTCTCACTTTCTCAATAATTTCACAATCTGAAGACCATCTTGAGATCCTAAGCAAGGAGCTGATAGCTTTCCAATTTCGTTCACTCTCTCTAGATAACAAAACAGCCTGTGAAACACCGACTTGGGAACAACAATCAAACAAAAGGGCAAAATGGATTCTGCAGAAAAGCCAGAAAAGAATGGACCACTATATTGAGATGATCTCGGCTACAGCGACACTCATAGAGAATGCTTTGATAAATAGAGTAAAGACCATCGAATAAAACACGAAATGTTTTAGGCACAAGTCAAGAGTAAGCCTTCAACTGTTGTCCATCATAATGCATTCATGTATAAATATTGCTGCTAGTGTCAAATTCTTTGAAGAAGTTATAGCTTTGACCACTAAAGCAAGAATTAGAAAGATAATACTGGCAATTACCAGAATGGAAAATGAAGCTGAGCTTATGCATTGGAGCTCTGTGTTTGATTTAGCTCCGCACTCAGCATGTGGTGGAGAAGCGCATCAACTCTTTGACTCCTAGTCTTTGAGCTGCAGAAAACTAAATTAGTGAGTCTAGACTATTTGTAAGGCTTCACCTCTTGAATAAATAAGAGCAAAAGATTTTAGAAGTGATAACTTTATGCCAATACGTACCCAACAGATCGGCGTCGGTCTCTGCCTGCTACTGATTTCTATTTAAGGAGGAGGATAAAAATATAATTAAAAACTGGTGACAAGTTCATTATCTAATAAACACATGGGAAACGGAAAAGAATTTGAATACAACAGTATCTTTTCAGATATCGGCATAGCAATGCAACATTTGTTATTAGCTCAAACAAGGAACAACTCCAAACCTTGTCCCGTTCATCACCTCTTTCTGATGATTCAAGATCCAGTTCAGCAAAGAAAGCCTCCAAGACAAATGCTATAACCTAAATTGTACGGGAAAAGAAAGTTATTGGTTAATTTTTCCATAGGCTTTTAGAAGGCAAAGCAAGAGGGATGCATTAAAAAAAAAAGAAAAAAAAAGAAAAAGAAAAGAAAAGCAAACTGCTTGTGCTAATCACAAGGGCTACGCATCAAGCCTTATTTTCAAGTTAAGAATTCCCAACACTGGCAATAGAAAACCACTTCCGATAATTACACTTGAACTCAACATACAAAACACTGATGAAAATAATGGAGCAGCAGAATGTAGCTTACTAAATTCAATAGCAGCAACACAGTTAGTAGATAAAAACTGATGAAGTACACAAGTGTCCAAGAAGTGCCCGTCAAATCCTCGTAACTCTGAAATGACAAACCAAAACAGTGACATTTAAAAAATTATCTATTATTTCACAGAAAAAAATTGAGGAAAAACATGGGCAACAATTTAGTAAATATTGTTGTAGTCTGAAATCAGTTGCAAGTACAATAGTTGTTCAAAGAAGGCAATACTAGCTAAACTCACAATTGAACACAAAGAAAGATATAAATAAATGTATAAGGATAGGTGATGTGTGTGTGTGTGTGTCACAAATTGGTCAGAATTCTTCGAATTTTTCATTCATGGTGTCCCAATGCGGGTTGGGCTGTATGGGGCAGGTCCCAGACAACTTATATGTTTGCATTGCACTCCAAGGAACCTCACGACGACTAAAACAGGCAATATTAGAACGTTGCTACTAATTTAGTTAAAATATAGACCAAAAAAGAGAGACAAAAGTGTCTTCCTTACTAGCAAACGAATAAACATGACTGTACTCAATAAACACTGACCAGAATTTAGTAACTTGTGACATGAGAATTTACCTGCATCCACACTTGCCAATTTCCCATGACCAGCAAATTGAAGAGTGTCACCATACCATTTGGGTAATCATTGAAGTTGAGGAGTAAATAACTGATTTTGTCAAGAAAATCCAATTAATTTAATATTAAAACTGTAATGAAACCTGTAGAGGAGCATTAACAAACTAAATGAGATCTAGAGTGAAAAAATTCCAAACCATATATAGGTATGTGACTGATATGGGCACTGGCCCATAAGCCCATTATCTTTAAATTTGATACTCACTATCGTATTATTTTTGTATCTTTTGTCTTTCTGGTTGGAAAGGACAGCTATAATATTGACGCAAAAAGATGATATTACGCAGTTAGTTTTTCCGGTGGACAAAGGATACACATCGTCAGCAAGACCTGTTGCTTCCAACTTGGGATTCCCAGCATTAACCATTCCTCCAAAGATCTTCCAAAAGAGAGTAATAAAATTAGATGATGCTGTAACTGTAGCACCAAGAGCCAATAGGTCAAGAGAGCAGTAGATTTTACCTGCACACCAAGAGAGCAATACATACACAGGACGCAGAATAGTATCCCTAGATATGGCATCAAACTCGGTATGAGAGTTAAGAATGTTGCTATGAAGGCTCTGTAACGCTGGACATACATCAGCAGCCTTATCAATCGCAACATTCTTGCAAGAAGAAGGTATCGAATCCTGTTAAGGAAGAAAAAGAAATGAGAGCAGACGAAAAGAAGAGGAAAAACAAAATTAGTTCAAAATATATAACCTAAATGTAGGTGCTTGGAAGCTGATTACACTAAAATATGAGGCTAACTTCTAAAAGGTTCTAGACATGACAAGTACCACAGATTAGTCATGAAAAAAGTTTACCCTCGAGGATTCTTCCCCATGACAAAGAAACGAGAAGAAAACCATGCAGAAAAATTACTATTGACGGTGGTGCATAATTAGGAAAACTCATTGAGGAAAATGACGACCAATATGCTTTGGAAAGGTAAAGAAACTCAACCGCAGGAACAAGAGTACAACTGTTTCGTACCATTCTCCATTTGAAAGAATAGACCCTTGAGGGGATGCAAAAGTTACAGTTTCTCCAATAACTGCAAATGAAATAATTCTGTTAATACAGTATAACTAAAATGCAAGCAAATGTATCTCTGCAAGAAATGAAAGGGGGAAAGAAAGGGTAAAAAGAGAAAAAAACTAATGCATGCACAGATGCAACAGTAAGCTAAAAAGAACATAACCTTTAATATGAAGTCCAAATGGGGAACGAAAATGCTATAACGTAAAGAAAATGATACCAAACGTGTACGTTCAAGTCTGTTCAGGTTAGTTTGAGATACTTTATCCACAAAAGAATTGGGGTACTTTAAAGTCATAAAATGGGAAGTGTCGGGAAAGAATTTTCAGTATTTTTCCACTGCATGTAAAATTGCTTCCTTTGTTTTCTGATTTCTTTTGTTTGTTTCTGATTATTAATTGTTTCCTCTTACCTTTTTTTTTTCTCCTCATCATTCACAATTCGGATCATCTGTGCTGTAGTTACTTACCTATAATCCATGCGATAAGAAAATCAAATTGATTCTGGCCATCCCTCCAATAGTTCTCAAATCCATATGCATATATTTTCAGAGCCATCTCCAGTACATATATCCATCCTGCATAACAGAAAGCAAATGACCAGGGAGAGTACAAATATTGTAAAATTAACTAAACAAAGAAAAAGAAAGGAGGTTAGGAGATGAAACGGTTTGTCTTAATATTTTACAGTTAAGGTTTTAGTTTAGACATTTCTAATAGTACTTTCTGTTTCCCATAAATACATCGTAAGAAGCCTGGGATGAAAGAGAATTTTAATCAAAAGCCAAGAACCAATTTCTCGTCCTTTATTTTTGATAAGCTCACAGACTAATAACAAATTGCAAGCACACGTCTACACAGGAATATGAGTAAATTCACTAGATCAATGGAATTAATTGGCAGAATAGAGGGAAAGAATAACAGGATATGGGGGTTTTCGAGTGACCCCGTGCACTCCCTCACTAACTTCAGCTTTACCCTTTTCTGGTGCCCTTCTCACGTGCCCTCCCTCCCTATTTATTCGATCACATTTCCCTAG